ACCTACACAGATACACTGTACAGCTGTCAGCAACAAGTGCTAATTCATCCAATCCAATTAATACTAAATCTATAGACTTCGACTGCCTGCTGTTCTAAACCCAGCACCTGGGATTTGCTGATTAGCAGTCAGAATAAACCTGGCAGAGGACAGAAAATGAAAAAAAATCCAACTAATTATTGGTAAATTAGCTTGCTGACCTCTAGAAATTCAGTTAAACCGTTTTTGAAAAAGCACACTTTCAATATGGAGCTAGAGGAAAGCACCTACCTAAGAAGTCACTGCCCATTCTGAAATCTCAGAATGTCCTTTTTGACTATCTTTACTGCTGTTTTGATATTTACAGAAATCTTAAAGACTTTTTTAAACGTTCAGTTTGGTGGAAAAAACAATTTTGCAACCATGTGATTAAAAGAACATGTAAGCATCTAATATAGTGAAACTTGAACAGCAAACCCATGGTGCCAGTGCAGCTAAATTAGCTTTTCTGTTAGCTGGTGACATCCAGTGGTACCTTGCGTAATTAAAGCTGGCCAACAATACGGTTACACCACAGTACAAAGTACTTTCTGTGACTCGGCCTGAGCATTTAATTATTCAAGGAGGGAAAAACAAACACGGGATGTTACACTGCCAAACAATCATGCTGGCAGAGTCTGGTGGCTTATTTTATTTCTACTAAAACCTTCTCCACTTGTATTATCTAAATGCTGATTAAAGGTTACATTCATATCGGGATCGAATCTTTCCTCGAGCAAAAAATGACAACGCTCCAAATATATCAAAGGAAGTTTGTGGTGTTAAAACGAGGCCCCAAAGCAGATCTGACTGGTTATAATGGAATTATTGTAATAATTACCAAAATGTTATTTTAGTTTCTACAGCTGTAATTTCAGCAAGACAATGGGGAATTTTATCTTAATAACATGTGTGTCTGTTACTGAATAACTCGATGTTGAAATGTTGATGGAAAACCTAATTCGGGATAAAAGCTGCAGGACTTAGACTCCATTAAGTCTCATAAGTAACACCATCAGGGGCAGCTAAAAACAACACCAAAGAAACCAAACTACGCTCCAGGCTCCAGGATTCTGAGTGCATCGCCATTTTTCCAATTTCACAGAAGCTCACACATTTTCTGCCTTTTAATGTGACGCAAATGCTCAACGGACCCGTTTCATCTGAGCACCGATAACAAGTCATCTGCTTCTATATCTACAGTCCTGTGTTGTTAGTCACATTATCCAGAGGCCACACCTGCTTTCTGGAACGCATCGCAGCTTCCTCCAGGGTCCCAGCTGCCTCTAACTTGCCCTGCCGCCTGTAGAGGGCACCAAGGTTTTTCAGGGTGGTGGTAACTGTGGGGCTGAAACGACAACCAGTGGAAATTTAACGTCACAGAAAAACGTTTTGGCGAAAGAAAATAAAACAACAAGAACAACACGACTGTCTTATAGATGGTTGGCCACAGTTGGTTTAATTGCTTACTACATTTACATATATCATGTATCAGTTTGCTTCCTGTGCTGAGAGTATCACCCATATTTACTCAGTGGAAAAACACTGACCTGTCGACTTTACAGGCTTTGTACCAGCCTCCATACTCTCCAAATGGTGAACCGTCTTTCTGCTTCCCCTGTGAAACACCAGTTTGGTTTAGATTTAAGAAATCTGCATATATGATGTAATAAATCAGACACTTAAGGATGGAAATCAACCCGCTTACATTGTAAGTAGTCAGTTTACATGGAGAAGTGTTAGCAGTGGGATTATAATTGGATCAGTACTTCTTCCCCAGAACATCTAAACCTAATAAACCATGAAATGAACTCTTAGATGGGAGAGTGAAGGACTCGGACCATCATCATCAGTTTTTACTGAGACTTAATATCCTAATCCAATCTTTGTAAAGTCAGTCATTCTTATTTCATGTTAAATAAGGTAAAAGAATTTAAAAGTTAAATGCACCTGATGTTACCTTTTTTTTTTTTTTAACTTGGTGTGTTTTAATGCTGTGCAATTATAAGGTTTTGTCTTTAACACTGAAACCCAAAATTAAGAAAGCACAACAGAAATTACAATTATACTTGTATATATGTTTCAGGCCCTCACCTTGCTTTGCTCCTCTCTCTCCTCAGCATGCATCCAGATTGGTTTGTTCTCATCTGCAAAGAAACACACACACAATCAGTCCTGACAAACTCAGATAAGCAGCTAGAGACACCTTTGAAAAGTCACTGACTCTGAAGTGCTGTTTTCTGTTTCTTTTCGGCTCCATCCTTCACTAAAATAACAGCAGCCTGAACATATTAACCTTTACTTCAAAGGAGAGACTTATAAAGTTGATCATGCATGCAAGTTACTCTAGGTTTAAGCTACTGTCTGCAATGTCTGAAATGTAAAAAGTGTGTGAGCACTTTGTACCATCAACAGAGCCAAACTCCCGTTCATGAGCGCGGGTTAGGATTTCTTTATACAGGGTCTCAGCCTGCTTGAACTTGCCCTGCTTCAGGTAACAGGATGCCTGAAAAACACAAACAATAAGAACAACATGACACTGCGAATGAGCAAAGTCAGAGCTCGCTCTTCAGCAGTTAGCAGTAAGGTCCAGCAATGGGATGTCAGAAACACCCAAGAAGCTTCACAGGACTGGGAGAAGCTGAATTAGAAAAAGAGTTGTCATTTTCATGCCACTTGTCATCTGCAGATATTGATTTTTATTCTGCAAATTGACAAATACTTCCATCCTTCTCACCAAGTTGTTCTTGGTCTTGGCCACGTTGGGGTCATCTGGGCCCAGTTTGGTCTGGTAGATCTCCAGGGCTCTCATGTAGTAGTACTCCACCTCCTCATACTTGCCCTGGTTCTGACACAGCAGGGCCAGGTTGTTTAGCTGCTTGGCCACATCTGGGTGGTCCTTGCCCAACACCTGGGACAAAAGAGGAAGAGATATGAACTTTAAACAACCCATTTCTGCCATGTGCTATTTGGTCAGTAACACTTAGCCAACATGAGAAATGCTGGTCAGACGGATTTAGCGCTTTCTACTGAGTTTCACTAGTGTAAACATTCAAATGTGCAACCTAGTTTAAATCCTCAGGTCCAATGTTGTAAATTTGGATTTCCAGGAAGACCGGAAGGGTGTTTGTCAATACGGTGAAAATGTTTGTTTCATCTCCTGCCAAGCTGCTTTGACTTGCTGCACTCTGTTTGTAGTGCGGCTGATTACACTACACGTATGTTTGGAGCAGTGTGCACAGAAGATGTCACATGTGTAAATTTGGTCAAGAGTACTGGGGATCAAGCCTGTAGCCTTTGCTACATACAGTACATGCCTCCGTAGGAATTTTGACCTTTTCTGGATTAATAGGCTACTAACCTGCTTTAATAAATAAAAAAATAAATAAAGCTGTAAAACAAAACAACAACAACACCCCCAAAAACCCCACTTCTGGATTAGGAAACAGCCTTTAAACACTGCAACCTCTTCCTGTGAGCTAAGAAGAGTAAAGGTCATTAGAGTAGAGTGCAGCAAGACTAAAAGACATGTATTGGGGCTAGATGCTAAATGACCCTCACACACACGCGCGCGCGCGCGCGCACACACACACACACACACACACACACACACACACACACACACACACACACACACACACACACAAAAATGCAATATTTTTTTTTCTTATTATATGATTCTAACTGCCCAGTAAAGATGTAGCGATCATAGGTGGATGAAAGGAAAGAAAGCAGAGAAGAAAATGAAGAGGATGTGCATGGGTGGAAACAGTGAACACACATGGGTGGCTGGTGTTGTTGGGAAAGGGATCTGATCAGTTAAAAAGAAACCACCCTGAGTGTCAAGTTTATGATTGTAAATAAAAATAAGTGAACAATTAGTTTGTTTTGATTTCTAGTTTCAGTTTACTGCTCGGTAAGTTTGTGTGAGGTCTCAGAACTGCAGGATGACCCCCCCCCCCCTCCCTCCCTCCATCCATCCCTCCCTCCATCCCTCCGTCCATCCATCCATCTATCCATCCCCCCCTCCCTCCATCCCTCCCTCCCCGCTGGAGACCAACAGCGTCTTTGATCCACAGGATGGTGCAGAGCTGTGTGAGCGGAGATACCTACAGTATTCACTCAGGCCTGACCTCAATCGCCTCCTGCACCACATAACACATCTGAACGCTTTCCTGTAAACAGCATTAGCTAGAAAACAGATTGCCATCAGCACCACAAAACTGCTGAGGATCTGATCATGCCTTCTGATGCCTTCAACCACCAAAAGTTCAGCAAAAATTCTGTGGCTTATTGAAAGCTTTCAGGCAAAGTAAACACATTACATACATGTTCTGGTCGCCCTTTTCTAATTAAAAATTAGTTACTCAAACCTCGGAATTTGAACCTTAAAATTCTGATTTAGTACTGAAAATGTCAGATATGAGGAAAAGAGGAAAGACTGCAAGTTCTTGCAGGTAGCAGATCTGCTACGTTATCTATAATTGCAGATATTCGAGTACTGGAGTAACTATAGCATAGACTAAATGTTTAAAAAAAACACAATCAAGCAAAAACGATTTCATCACTGTTTTCATTTTTGCAATCACCGTCTTTGTGTTTTGAAACCAGATGTGATGTATGCATGACTGAGAAACCAACACACTGCGTGCTCATGTGGTAGCAACTAGGTGATTACAAGGCAGACCCAGCCTAAAGCATATCCTCCTTTATACTTGTTGTTTTACCATAATGGGGACCAATTTTCAAAATGAATATAATGGTATATACACTAAAATTGAAACTAGTGATCAGCTTATAAACTTGTCAGGTAAAGTGTTTCCTGACTCACTTATAAAGGAGGCCAAGGACACTTTTCTCATAGACTAGAATTTTTTATGCAACCAGAGGATTCATACTGCTGACCATTACAGAGACAACATATTTAAGACATTTGTATACTGTACTATAACTTAACTATAACTATAACTTTTCATAGCAGACCCTACATCCATTGTTTAAATGCAGTCTGTCATCTGCAAGTTTCTATTATCTTGAATCTTTCACAAGAATAACGCTGCTGGCATTCCACATTTTTGCTGTTGCCATGAACTCAAATAATTCTAAAGGCTAAAAGCAAGAAGTATTAACACTTTCTCAATACTTCACAGGGGAAACTTTAAGATGAGTCATATTTCCTTTTTCTCTACAACTTTCTTCAACAGCTACAGACTTCAATTCACTTTGCCCTGACAGATTAGTGAGGGCAAAGTGAAAAGGATATGATACACACACACACACACACAGACACACACACACACACACACACACACAGTATTGTTATATAGGATTTTTATATAAACTCTATCTTTGTCTGTTTTGACAAGTAAAAAGCTTTGACACCACTTTATTTCCTAACACCCACTAAACTCAGTTAAAAGCTGAATTTTCCAGAGTTTCTACAAAAAGGCGGAATGACGAGAGGGGAAGAAAAACATCCTTCTGATTCAGCAGTTCTGCTGCAGTCACTTTGCAATGCCCTGCATGTGCAAAACCACTCCGGCTTAAGCAAGTGCATTATCATCTCAGTTTAAGAAGCATGAAGAAAAAAAAAATTAAATGCCTCGGCTTAACCAAAGCTGACGTTGCATTCTCAAGGAGACGAAGGAGAAGAGGGTTTGTTCAAAGGCAAGAGCTGAGCATAAACAACAGAAAGTGTCTCCTGCGGCTCGTTTGTAAGTATCAAATTAATACAGGCAAAACAGTAGCGTTCGCTCAGGATAAAGAGCCTGCCCTGTGACGAACGCTGAATACTGAGAAAAAAATTTATAAAAAGAGGAGAAATTACATAAAGGAGGTTGACTACAGTTTATTTCTTATGCAAGGAGTGAGGAAAAAAACAAAACAAAAAAAACAGACAAACGACTTTATGAGTTTTATGTAGTTTTTGTAGATGTACTTCCTCATATATATATTAAAACACTTTTTGGAAAGAACAAAGACTCACTGCTGCTTTTCTTT